GAGCCCCTGAAGCAATGTCGGGGGTCGCAGGGGAGCGGTACTGGGGGGAGGAAAGAGCTGTTCCCTGCCTCCCGACTGCTGTGCCTGTCTCCACTGCCTGAGCCAGTGGGCGGGCACACAAGTGTAAGTTTTTGTCCCAGAGCAGCCAGATATGGATCCCTGCTTTCCACAAGCAGCCGGGATCCCAGTCTCCCCAGGAACTCTGCCTGTATTAACTTTCCAACCCGGTAGTCATGTGAGTCTCATGAAAGCACCATGAAATGTAGGTTTGTGCTCCCCGCGCAGATCTCCGGAGCCAGGTGTTCAGCAGTCCCAGGCCTCCCACTCCCTCCCTGCCCCATTTGTCTTCCTCCCGCCGGTGAGCTGGGGTTGGCGGGGGTTGGGGGGGGCTCGGGTCCCGCGGAGCCACAGCTCCGGTACGTTACCCTGGTCGCTGAGTTCTGCTCTTTTCTCCAGGTGTGTGCAGTCTGGCGCCGTCCTCTTTCCTGTTGCTCTCTCAGGATTAGTTGTGCCAATTAAATTTTCTAATTGTATCCAGTTTTAGGAGGAAGCCTCTGTCTCCCCTCTCATGCCACCATCTTTAATCTGATCTCTCTGCCCTCTTTTTATAATGTCAGAAAGAAGCAGTCATAATATCTCACGTGAAAACTCCTGGCACAACACGACTGTCGCCACCTGATTATCACTGCCGGCAAGGACAGGCTGCTGTGCGTCTTTACAGCTTGATAGCTGATTCTCTTCCTCTGAGCTCCTGGCTTTGCTGCCTCACATTCTGGGCACATGGTCCTGAATCAGGTGAAAGCGCAGTTCTTTGCAAGCCAATGACCTTCACAGCCTGCTGTGCAGCCAACACAGAGGCAGGGTAGACCGACACCGGAAGAAGGGCTGCACGCTCCACGCTGGTGGCAGAGAAGCCGCTCACCTCATCTCCCAGTGACCCTCGGCAGTGGGTGTGCTCCGTGTCTGGACTTGTGAAGCCCAGTGGTGCCCCGTCACGAGGGCGTTGGCAGCAGGAGGAAAGGACGCACAGTCCCTTCTTGGTAAGAAGTGAGGCCCATTCCTGGACAGTGGACGGAGAGCCCCCGCCCCTACTTCCTGGAGACAGAACCACCTCATCGGCTTTCTGGGGGGAACCAGCAGAATGCACAACCCTCGTGACTGGTCACAGATGTGACACCAGTGCCTTCTGCTGCAGGCACGACACCCCCCACATGTGGCCACAGGTGCTCGCCCCGTGTCACCTGTACCACCCCAAACGCAGAAAGCTCTCCCAAGTTCTAGAGTGAGTTATTAGAGTTATTAGTCTTGGGTGTCTACACTCACTGACCAGTGGTCTTAAAACTCATGTGACATAGTTCCAGAGTAAAACAGCTCTCCTCTGTGCCGGCCCAGTCCTCCCCACTAAAGACACACGGACTGAAAGAGAAGTCCTGTGAAAGCGTCCTGCTCTTCCACTGGGCTTCACCTCTGACTCCCATCTGATCTCATTAACCAGGAAACGTGTGGGGCGAGACCCACAAGACCATCAGAGGGGCACAGCCTGTGGCGTGGGTGCAGCCCAGGGAGAGCGGGCCGCCTGTCCCCGCACTGCTGCCCGGCTGCGGTTCCTCCTTTTCCCTTTCCTCCAGCAGCTGCTTGGCATCTCACAAGCCTCCAAACAGAGGAGGCACTGATGCACAGAGCGGCACTCCAGGCAGTGGTGTGCCAGTCCCCCAGGGGCTGGGCAGGGGGGCACGCGGGAGCACTGCAACCCCAACGCGTAGCTAACTGAGGGTGGGGAGGGATTCGGGCACCAGCAGGAGGGCCTCTGAGAACAAGTATGCAGTCAGCCCCCAGGACTCTGGCGGAGTGGGCGGTCTACCCCCCACACCGTCTGGCCCAGGGCACACGCGTCCCAGACAGCCAGTGCCCAGGAGGTGGGGGGTTTCCGCTTCCTTCTGTGACATACACTCGGCCAGCATGCCCGTCTTTAGAAACTCACCTGCAGAACAATGGGAAGCTGCTCAGGGGGGTTTCTGTTCTCCACGCCCATTGTGAGCCATACCTGGAAGGCAGTCAGCTGCTCAGCGAAGAATGGGCTGTGCTGGGGGGACAGAGGGGTGTTAGTTAGGAACCCACGGCACTCCTTTCACCCTCACCCCTCAGGTCTTCAGGAGGCACGGCCGGCAGGCAGGCAAAGCAGGGGCGATCCTCAGGCAGAGTGGCTGCCGGCCAGGGAGACCAGAGCAGACCAGGCTGGGCAGAGGAAAGGCCTGCAGCGGGGACGACCCCACGCTCCTGCCTGAGCACTGGAAGCCCAGGTGGGGGGACGGTGGGGGAGGCGGGATGCGGAGGTGTGGGGAACCCAGCCCTGGACATGCTGAGCTAAGAGCTGGGCACTGGTGTGAAGACATTGGGCGGGCAACGGACTGTGTGAGTCCTAGTCCAGGAGGGAGGTCTGGGCTGGAGATCAAAGTCAAGTGAGAAAGAGAAGCAATCCCGGGCCAGGCCCTGGAGCCCGCCAGCACCGAGGGGCCCTGCTGACGAGGTGGGTGAGCCAGGGAGCGCCAGGGCAAGACCCGCAGGGACGAGCAGGTGGCTGGCCGGGCGGCTGCGGGAGGGCTGGGCAAGCTCCATCCAGACTCCAGGGTGGTTCAGCCCCATGGGGTCCCTGGAGGGCGCAGGTCCGGTGGGGAAAGGGTGACCTGGAGGGGCAGGTACGGAAGTACCTTGAAGGCATTTGGCTGCCAGGGGAGGATGGGAGTGGAGGAAAAGGGCAGGTGGCTGAGCTTGGGTGTCAAGATGGGATAGAAGGGCACCTCTCGACAGACAGGGAGGCTGCCACCCTCAGTGGGCAGGTGGGGTCGAGGGCCACCCCCTGACACCTGGAGATGGGGAAGTAGATGGGCCTGATGCAGGGCTGGGCAGATGCCCTGGGGACCTGCAGAGGTGGTTCCAGGTCCCAGCAAGATGGGAGTAGCTGTCGGGAGGAGGGGCTGGCACTGGTGGAGAGGAGAGGCATAGGCAGGCCCCCCGTGCGGTCAAGGGCAGTGACCACAGCAGGGTCCCAGGGGGTCTCGCTTCCAGCCAGCGTGCGGTCTCAGCTCAGAGTGGACAGGCATGGAATTACTCGGGGACCAGGGCAGCGTGGTGGTGGTGCAGGGAGCAGAGAGGTGCTGAGAACAACTGAGCCCCTGACCTGGGGCCAGTGGGGTGAGGGGGCCAGGGGGCGCTGGTGCCATGGGGCCGGGAACTGGTGAGCTGGGAGCGTGGTGAAGTGGGCACGCTGGAGGGGCCGCGCTGGGGGTGGGTCTCTCCTGTGGTGGCACTGCGGAGTGGGGGCGTGGACGGCGAGGGCAAGGATGGGGGACCACAGAGGTGGCTCAGGTGTAGGGCGGGCCGGGCTGTTGGAAGCAGGCCTGGGAACGGAGCAGCTGGGCAATGGCACCGCTGGGTTTTCTGCCTCTTACAGTCACTTTCACTTCACACCCAGGGCCCGAGAAGAGGAATTTCAAAGCTGCACATCCCGGCCTCCCACCCACCAGCCTCCCTGGCCCCTTTCTGCGTTCTTCCCAAGGGGGAAAGCAGGTGGCTGTGTGAGGACGGCAGGGCGGACGGCAGGGATGTGGCCCTGGCCCCTTGTGGATACGTGCCCATAAATGACTACGCTGTGTGCAGGGCCTCAGCACATCTGTGCGCTGAGCTCTGAGTGTGCGCCCCAGGCCTTCCACAGAGGGGCCTGGTGGGCGGCCCCAGGCCCCAGAGTCGGGCGTCACGACGAGTGCCCAGGGAACGGGCACTGCTCTGGTGCTGCTCCTGTAACGTCAGCCTACGTTTGGAGGGCAGCCTGTGCACTGGAATGGAGCCCCAGTGACTCTCTTGTTTTTAAGTGTGAATCATTCATTAAATGGTTTAAAACAATAATCTTGTTAAGGGCTCTCTCTCTCCCTACATCTGGCGAGACAAGTTTTGCTAAGTCTGGGAAAACCTTGGGCCTGTGAGGGGAAGTCGGGGAACAGTAAGTCCGTCTCCTCTCCCTTCCTTTTGGATTCGTTTCTGCCCTGGACACTCGGGCGCTGCCAGAGAAACTGCTCCACACAGACCGACGAGCCGGTCTAGTTGCCTGAGGCTCACAACGAGGGAGAAGCTCTCGCCTGAGGTTTGTCACACTTCCTGCAGCCACGGGAGCTGATGAGTCAGAGCAGCTGCGGCCCCAGCAGGGCACCACGGCTTAAGTCACACCCTGTGGAGCATCTTGAGAGCCGACCCGTGTGGGGTGACTCACAGGCTGATGTTTTGGGCCAAATCTCTACAATTACCTCCAAAGTGTGTCAGAGCTACCGGAAGCCAGGCTGAGTGTTCTGGGGGCACACTCACACTGCTGTGGGCAGGGGCTCTGAGTCATGTGGCCATGTGGCCAGGGCCTCCCAGGACAATTCTGATGCCAAGAGGTCTGCTCCACTGTCAGCCCACGTGTCAGAGAGTCTGGGGGTCTGAAAACAATGGGCTGAAAGTGAGATGCATAGACGGGCACCAGGAGCCACACTCGACCACTGGGGCTGATCCACACAGACTTCCACGTCGTCGTTGTGGGAGAGGGAGGCTGGCCTCAACACACCTCTTCCCGCCACTTGCTGTCCGTGGTCCAACACCCCAGTGCCAGCCGGCGTCTGTCCTGGCAGCAGAGTGATATACTCACTGTCTATGGCGATCTCACTGCTTAGAAGCAGAGACAAGAGAAAGCTGCCAAGGGGCAAAGGGCTTCCAGCCCCGCCTGCTGTCAGAGCGCTCAGCCTGTGAAGGACTGTTTGAGCCCCTTGAGAAAATCGGCCGTCCAAGTTTCCCACTGTGTGCGAATCCTTCCCACTGGGTGTGAATATTCCTCGCCTCTCTCCCTTCGTCAGTGAGCACCATTCTGATAGGTCTCCTTTTATTTATTAATTAAAATCTGTCACTTCCAACTACTAACTTTGGAAGAGTGACATATATATGAGGCTTTCTTTCAGTATGTCTGAAACGGAGGTTTTAAGATAAGACCAGTAATTTATAGGAAAATCATTAGAAAAAAACGGTGAATTTAGTAAAGTTGCTATACCAAATCACTTGTACACAATATATACACGAAGAAAGAAAAAACAAAATGAAATTTAAAAAGGCACCATTTACAGCCAAGACTCAATATTGTAGAGATGTCAACTTCCCCCAAGTCAGTCTATGGATCCGCTGTAACCTCAGTCAGAACTACTCTCACAGCCAGGCCCGCCCGGCATGTGTCCACGGACAGAGGCGACCAGAGCCGCCGAAGAGAGAACCTAGAAATGGCCGCACAGACGGCCCCCGACGCGGGTGAGCAGCACTGTGCTAGAAACCCAGGCGTGAGGAAGACGCACCCTGACCCCCACCGCACACGGACACACAGGCCAGTCCCACACGGACTGCAGGTCGAAATGTGAAAGGCAAAACCAGAAAGCTTTCAGAAGAAAAGGAGGACATCTCCTCAGGGACGTTTGTCTCAAAGTAAGGATTTCTTAAACAGAGTATCTAATCATAAAAGAAAAAATTGGTAAACTGGATTATGTTAAAACAAGAAACTTCTGTTCGTCAAGAAAAAAAACACTGAAAAAGTGAAAATGAAGCTCCCCAGAATGAAAAAAGATATTCACAATGCAGGACAAATGGTTCGTGTTCAGAATACACACAGCCACCACAACTCAGCCAGAACAGAAAACTGAAGAAAAATGATCAAAAGCCTGCAACAGGCAAATCACAAAACAGGATATTCAAATGGCCAATAAAAATATAAAACCGTGCTCAACACTATTAACCATCAGGGGAATGCAAGACGCCATCGCGGCGGAACACCTTTTCATACTGTGCCAGCAGACTCAGAAGAAACAAGGTGGAGATGCTGAGTACCGACGGCGACACAGGGCAGCCGACACGCTCGGAGCTGTGGGCGTGGTGCACACCGACCGGTCACTTTGGAAAACTGGCGGTATCTATTAAAACTGAACATGCACATACCTGGTGACCAGAAATGTCACTCTGGGTGCACGCACCTGGCATGAATGTACCTGAGTTGGCAGGGCCTTGGCAGCAGCTGGCTGGGCTCCCCAGGGCACGGCAAGGAAGGCATTCGCCTCAGGCACAAAAGTTAAAGGGCACCAAAACCTCACTGATTGAGAAAAATCACCTCAACAGAATATTTAAAAAAATAAAAATCAACAAAAAAATCCCTAATGAACAAAATACCAAAGGTTCAAGTAAAGACAGGCTCAATATTGCTGATTTCTCCTTTGCCTCAGGCTCCTGGCCAGCAAGACCTGTCAGGGCTGCAACCTGGAAACTCAAAATGCCCACTGGCCATGGGGTGGACAAGGACATTTGGGGTATTCCCCACTGTGCTAAGGGGCACCTACCACCACGTGGAGCAAACTTCATGCTGAGTGAAAGCGTGGGACACAAAGGCTGCACCTGTCTCCGAGGGAGTCTGTGCACCCAAGACCCGGCAGTGAAGTGCTCACCCCTGGCGGGGGGTGGGTGGGGGCGGTAGCACCAGAGGGCAGTGGCTGCGAGGCTGCCAACATGCTTGATCTGGGTGCCAGGCCCTCCTGTATGTTCAACGTGGAACAATTCGTCAAGCTGCGCATTTATGATACATGCAATTTTCTATATGTATGTTATGCTTCCAAAAAAGTGAAAACAAAATTAAAGCTGGCATGTGGTCTGATCAGTTACCCCCTCCCTGCCACAACTGAGTGAGATTATTCATGACTGGAGAATATTGATTCTAGTAGATTAGAAATGATTCTGACACAAGAGCAGAGGGTAGGAACACAGGGATGGGTTATTTATGGGAGAGCATGTTGTTCTGATCCCTTAATGGTACAAAGTAAATCACGCAGAGGACAGAAGATTTTCCAAATGCGTGATTGTGGCAACAGCCTCCCTGGGGGCTCAGGCACCTGGAGGGCCACCTGGCTGCAGGGGACAGGGACTGACGGGGGGGTGAGGCTGAAAGGTCGTGACTATGGACGGGACCTGGCCCTACCCCAGAGCTGAGACCAGGTGGGGAAGGGGCCCCAGAGTCAATGCTAGACACACCGGCGAGCACCCGAGGGGCCCGCCCGCTCCCACACTGGGTAGCCTATGGCCTCCCGGGAGGGCATTAAGAAAAGATGGCTGGACAGAGGGATGGACGTGCTGGAACGTGTGTGGTGAATACTTAGGGCAGGACTGAGTGGTGGGCACATGGTGTTCACTGGAGAATTCTTCCAACTTTGCTGTCAGTTTGAAAATTTTCATAATAAAATGTGACAAAAGTCAAGCAACAAAGAGGGAAGAAATACAAGACAAAAGAGGCGAATCTCTTTGCCTGACCAGCCCAGCCTTGGGGCACATCAAACCCAAGACACATGCACATGCACACACACACGTATGCACACCCCCGTGCACGTGCTCTGGAGTCAGTAGGTTCAAGCTCCCCTGATGGCTGAGATGGATCCTGAAAAAATCAAACCCTTTTGTACTGATGGCATCACCCATCCTGGACACAGCGCCCCTGGCCTGGGCTCAGGGAATGACATGCTGGCACTGGTACCCCTTGAATACACTAAGGGCGAGGAAGCCTGGCCACACAAGCCATGTGCCAGGCTCTGTCCCGAGCTCTCAGCCGATGCTAACTTAACTCCTCCAGGCCTCACATACCCTGGGAACTGGACACACCGTGACTCCCCTTGTAAAACGAGGAAACCGAGGCATGTGGGCCTGACTTGGGTAAAAGGGCAGTTGGCGGACCCTCAAGCATCTACCAACGATGGCCTGGGGCCAGGAAGTTCCTTAGGGTGAACATGACACCCTCACAGGGCCCAGAATCCTGGGGAACCCGTAATGTACACATGGCTGAAGAGCTGGCATCCGGAACACTGGATGTGTTTGCATGGGAAGTGCACTAGGAAAGCAGGTTTATAAGAGCAACGTTTTAAGAGAAGAAATTTTTTAAGAGCTCACCATTTCAAAATCTGACTTTAAGCCCTGGTTGACACAATCTTTTAAACTTGTGGCTAACTGCACCTTTTCCTATGTGGATGAACAGAATCTAACCCCAGAGTCTGGGAGCACCACACTGACCGGGGGCTTTGCAGACCAGGTGCTGAGAAGACGCCACCAGGGTGGACTGGGGAAGGTGCCCTCAGGGGGACTCACCCGAAATGCAGTGCCTTCCTCGATGATCGTAGGCAGCTGAGACAGACAGATGTCCACGGCAAGGTCCCAGGCCTGCCTGGGGAGAGAGCAGAGAGGGGCATGCGCCAGCATTACTGACGGCTTCACCCGCAAGGGGCCTTGACAGCAGAGCGGCCGACCACGCTGCGGGCCCTGATGGGCAAGGAGGGGCAGGAACACGCAGCTGGCAGCACACTAGAGCCACTGTGACATTTTTTCTCTAACTGCAATGGCAAAAAAGCTTGGGAAAAGAATTTTCTGACATGGTTTCTGTTAACTTGTATATTGCTGGTATGTGCAGCTGATGGGGCAGGTGGGCACCAGGGTGCCGGACAGTGGCTGTGACCCATGCAGGTGCAACAGTGCACTGGGTCAGGCCAAGGCACTTCATCAGAAAAGGCCTGGGACATGAGGATATGCCTGTGGCCCCACTGCCCCAGATGCCCCTCGTCCTGCCCCCAGAGTCAGGACTGGCCTCCCACCCCCGGCACTGCCTGTGCCCAACACAGGCCACAGGGGATGAGACAGGTCATGCTTGTTCAAGGTGGAAGGGCAACGGTCCCTGGCGAGTGACCTTGGTTACCTTCCCTGCGATTTCTTACGGCATCGGGCCTTGGCTTGACACATGTACGAAATGGGTCAGTGTTAGGCTGGGGCCTTGTGCCCGTGGCTTCACCTCCCTGGGGTCAGTTTCACCACCTGTGAAACAGGCTGACGACCATGTGTCCCTGGCCGGGTCCTTGCGGGGCCCCGGGCCTGCTGTCACGCCCCACGTGAATGCTGCCCTGGACGCAGCCGCCTTGTGTTCTCCACGGCCACAGACCCCAGGGTGGGCTCCCAGGGAGCAGGGCTTGCTCAGTCCCCCTCCCTCTTTTAGAAACACGCTCCCCAGGGAAGCAGACCGGGTCAGCACGGCAGATTCGTTCTGAGCACCGCAGCCCACCGCAGCGCCTTCCCCAGGGCAGCTTCCCGGGCCTTGGGACTCCTTGTCATGTGTATTTAGACTAGTGAGAAGACGTGTTTGTATGTAGAGGCACCTTTTCATGGGGTCCTCACAAAGGATGTAAACACAAATGGAAATTTTAAACACCCAGGAAAACAGTAAAAATTTCAGACGAACAAGGATCACTAGAGAATGCCTCTTCGCTACCCAGACACACGAAACAGATTTCATTTTCCCCAGACTGGCCCCTCTGCACAAGTATATGCCCTTCCCCCACCAATCTAATTAAGAGGCAATCAGCAGATAATCAAAAGTGCCTCAAAGTACAGGCAATAAATAGCTCCCATACGCTCAATAAGTGCCTGGACTGCAGGCCGAGTGGTTATTCAGCAGCGCTGAGGGAGTATTTTCTCTTTGTTTAGATAGAAGCAGTCAATTATTGCAATTAAGCTCTATAAAGATTCCTTGAATTTAATCAAATAAAAAGTTTCAGCTGCAGGAGTTGGACGTGAGCACATGCCAGGGGAGGTGGAGGTGTGAAGTGGGTGGGGTCCGGGACAGCTGGCCCCAAGCCAGCCCTGATCTGGGGCCCTTCTCCACGGCAGGTGCACACGCCCTGCACTGGCCCAGTCTCATCAAAACCACGCGGCTGGAAGAATAGCAGCCCATTAAAAACGAGGTCTGGGCCGGGTTCTAGAGAAAGCATTAGAAGATGAGGCTGCCCCGGAAAGACCCTCCGTACAGTCCCCACGCAGCTGCGTCAGGGCCAGAGGGTCACAGTCCTGAGAAGTGCCACCCTCGTCACCACACCTGGCGTGACTGCTCTAAGGCCCAGCCCTCTGCGGCCCACCACAGGAGGATGGGTCCTCACCCAGCAGCACATTTCCAGGCCTGAAGAGCAGCTCGGATGGCTGTGTTTGACCTGTGCCCCGGGGACTGGAGGCAGCTGCAGGGGAGCCACAGAGGAGGGGCTGGGCCGAGGTCCCTGGGAGCCACACAGAGAGCTGCTCAGGGGGCAGCTGCCCAGGTGAAAGGAGGAGACGAGGACGTCGGGGACCCCCCGGAAACCAAATGACCAACACCGTTATCAGCCCACGGAGGGCAGTGAGCCTCAGTGAGGTCCTGGGGAGGGCGCAGTGGGTGGCGCTGGGCAAGCTGGCCACCCTATCAGACCTGGGCCTTTGCTTGTTTATCTTTACAGAAGGAAAGGGTCAGGTTAGAGGACCTCCGAGCTCCCATTAAACTCTAAACTGCATAGCAACGGACTCCGTTGAGCAGTTCATCAGCTGATCAAATCTAGCTGTATTTTCTAGGGTAAAACCAAAATGAACTTGGAGTCTTAACTCGGGATTCTCAGTGGGGAAAGCAGGAGAGTCCTGTCAGATCCAGAGATGGGGACTGTGGGCTCCAGCAGCTGCCGCCTGGGTTCCGGCAGTGGGCACCCCAGGACCAGGGAGGTGTCTGTCCCGCAGCAGGGTGAAGCAGTCTGGGGGCCGGAGCAGAGCTGGGAGGGCAGGCGCCTGATGGGCTTCCCAGCAGCTTGCAGCAGAGTGTGTGGCTGTGGGCTGCTCCGTGCGTCACGGAAAACATGCCATCCAGCCAAGCACAGGTTTTCAGGGATGGGCCTAGATGGCAGGTGCCCAAGCTGTGGGCAGGGAGGAAAGCCTTCCACGCGTAGCCTCCATCCACTCCGATCCATCAGTGCACCCGCGATGGAGTGGAAGGGCAGGTTATTACTGCAGAGAAATGCAAGGGCTTCAGGACCTGCTGAAATTGAGAGCAAAGGAGAACGACTCCCTGATGGCTTCGCATCAAAAATTAACCAGGAACCAGGCGCCGTGCGTTTTATCATCAGCGCCCCCGCCGGAAGCCAAGTGTGCATGTGTATTATTTTGTGTTTTAACCTCAATTTCTGTTAGGCTTTGTTTCCTTCTTCCCTCTGCTAAAAATTCAACCTCTCCATCACCACCCAAGAAATATAGTAACTGGATGGTAAATTATTTATCCCAAATGCTCTGACTACCACGGCTGTGCACTCTCCTGGGATGTACAAACCCTGCTCTATTTACGAGGAGGGGGAAGGTGTTCTAGCACCCGAATGAGCTCTGCAAAAGCCCACAGTAACTCTTCTGTGGCAAGGAGCCCACACCGGCACCGGGCATCCAGGGCACCTCCCACCACGATAGCAGGCGGCAGAACTTAAGCGCAGGTGAGCACCACCTTCTCGGTTTCTGGGCCTCATGTCCTCACTGTCTTTGCCACTGAGCCCACTGCCTGCTCCTGGGCAGTTGCTCTGCCTCATCCTCTGAGCCTAGGAGTTTGAGCCGGGCACCTGCTACCCAGGACGGAGAGCACACGCCCAGCCTTCCAAAGAGGTGTGCTAGACACGGCTGCAGGGCCAGAGCAGAGATGAGCCGTGCCCCTGGGCTGGCCGCTGCGAGCAGCCTCCTGCCTGAAAGAGGCCTGGGCCCTGACAGCTTGCACTTAGGTCCCGTGGCAAAGAGACACAGGTACCTGTTTGTAAAACTGCTGGACTCTGGGGTACCCATGAACCTGTATTTCAACCACTACATCTCACTACTGCCAGGGCAGAAACTCTGTGCATCTTTCCATTTTGAACAAGTCAGAGTCCCTCGACGGGGTGTGGCTGCATGCCCAGTGCAGCTGCTTGACCTAGTATTTATACCAAGCACTCTGATGTCCAACTTGGTAAAACAATTGTGAATGACTTTATAAGGAAACAAAGTCATTATCAACTCTGGGTGGCTCTCTCCTCCCTAGCTCCACAGTGCGGCGGCACAGCCCAGCTGGGGGGCCTTGCGTTAAACTAGCTCAAGCGTCATGGCGCGTGGAGTGAGGCTGTCCCTCTGGTGAGCATCAGGTGCCTTAGCAGACATGGGAGTGGGGCCGAGGGCACCCAGCCTCTGGGACGCCAAGGGAGAATGAGCTCTTGCCTGGGGGTGTGGGGTCCTCACGCATGCCTCGTCCCCTGGAAGCTCATTACTCCTTCGTGGGCAAGAAAGCACGTGCAGGACCAAGACGCTGTCACCGGGGCACTCCCCTGGGACACAAAGCCCTTCTTCAAAATCACGTTTGCTGTGACGGGACGTTGCTTGGGATCGCTCCCACCCGTGCTGCCAGGGAACCTGCAGGCAGCAGCTGGGCACTGGAGCTGGTCGATTCCCAGGGGCTAGGATTCAGCTCACGTTCAATGGAGAGCTTGGGAATAGCATTAAAAAATTGCTATCACTTGAAATTTGGGTGGGGGTCTAATTACCACTAAATGAATCCCCCTGAATTCCTTGGATGCTTAACTCACACTGGCCTGGAAATCCGTTTCTCAGGGCGGGAGGACTTGGGGAGGGGCCTGCAGGCTCTGGGAGAGGCCAGTGTGCAGGTGGCGGCTGGAGCCGTCACGGGGGCCGGCTGACCAGCCGGACCACGTTTTGGCCTCTCCTCTTCGTCACTGCTTATGTTCCTGTGAACATGTTTCTTCTCTAAATGTAAAGCCTGATTTTAGATTTGATCTTTCGGAAAAAGATCCCAAAGGGAGAGGACCTTTGCACACAGACAGGTAAAGCAGGTTCGCTGTGCCGACGCGGGTCGGGGGCAGCCACACCAGGAACTCCTCCCCGCCACACAGCCAGTGTTTCAGGAGCCCTGGGGGTACTGAGGAGCTGCACCCCATTTCCTCCACAGGGCAGCTGTCGCCTGGTGCAGAGCCCCTGGCGCACAGCCTACCGCCTGCATCAGGCCCTGCCATAGACTTAGTTTGGCCCTCTGAATGTTTTCTTAAAATGCTGTATTAGATATCAACATTAAAAAATAAGGAAATTGTAAGTGAAAATATGAATTTTTGGCTACTCTTTAAAATTTACTGTGCCTCAAGACTGCCACACGGAGTCCAGACAGGGCAGCTCTGCTGCTCTCGCCACGCCACACGCCTGCATCCGCCTTGCCGGCACCTCCACCTCCCCTCTGAGGCCTACAGGCCCCCCGCACGGTGGCCTCCTTGCCGAAGCCCCCCCAGGACGCTCAGGCACCCGGCAGTGCCTGCCACAGGAGGGGAGGGCCGTGAGGAGGGTCCATGCTGCCGGAGCCCTTGGGGGCTCACTGCTCCTTCATGCGCACACTGAGAACGGGCCGCTCCGCAGCCTCCTGTAAGTTTCTGGAAAAGCCGTTTTTTATGTTCTGAGATCTGACAGGGACTCTTTCCATAAGTGGCTTTTGGGCACAACACAGGACCCCGTGCAGTCTGAACACCCTCAGTCTTCGCACCAGGCAGCGTCATCTGCTCAGCTTTTCAAGCGGGACCCTGGAGAGGCCCCTCCACGCAGCCTGTCTCAGCCTGGACATAATCAGTCACCAAACCCTGACATTCCCAGCAAGCAGATGCTCTGAAATCTGGCTCCTCCCATCAAACCATGCTGCCACGGCCAGGCCACTTGTCTTTCGTTTCTTCCCACAGTTCCCCGCCACTGGCTGTCCCTCACCACTCCACGCTCTGCATCCCCGGCTAGGCCCCACTGGCTCCGGCTCTGGGCCGAGCCTGCCCCGGGCCCAGCAAGGGAAGTCTGGCCGCCTGCTCCGGCCACAGCCACGCCCTCCCCTGGCAGCCCGTCAAGCTGGGCAGGCCCGGAACATTCTCCCTCCCCTTGCCCCTCATTGGCAGCCTTCGGAATGAGGCCAGGCACCATGCTGGTTCTGAGCCGCGGGTGCTGTGTTCTCAAGCGTCACTCGTCTGTCCTTCCAGCAAGCACCACCCCACCATCCTGTCTCCAGGCTGCCACCCTGTGGGGGCTGGACCTTGTTTTGACGTCTGGGTATCCTCACACCTTAACCAGCACACTGAGGGCACTCTGCCCACCTTGACCTCCAGGCACTCAGGCAGAACAGTGCAGGAAGGGGGGACCTGAGCCGCTCGGCCCAAGCCAGGAATGGCTACAGGTGCAGGGCCCCCCCAGGGCTCACTGCGGGGCAGCGAGGGGCTGGTGGAGACGAGGGAGGAGGCCCAGATGGCTGGTGCTGAGCTAGCACGCATGAACGGACTTAGTGGAGCGAGCCTACAGTCTGCCCGCGTGAGATGTGTGCCGATGGTGCCCCATTAAGAACACAGCTTTCTCTCAGGGTCTGCCTGCACGGCTTTGCTCAGAGGGCAGGATCCTTAGGGATGCCCTGGGGGCAGTGCGGGCAGCAGCTCCAGGAAGCCCACCAGAAAGCTCTGGAGGAAGGCTGCCCTGGGACGGATCGGAACCACGCCCGGCAGGCAGTCTGCTCTCCCACTCCAGCCCCGGGAGCCCAGGTGTCTGCTGGTCGGAAACCATTCCCTTCAAAGCAGTTGGATGGCTTTTTTTAAGAGCATTTCTCATCCTCATTCAAACTCCTTCTGAAGGCAGAGGCTATGTCAGTCTTCCCAGGCTGGGACCCTAGGCCCTGACACTCAGTAGATACATGGACATTCTTTCGTATTTTCCTAGAATGGACTTAGTGTCTTTACGAAGCCCACCCAGTGCTTTCCTTTTTCTTTCCTTTTTTATAATAGATGTTTATGAAAACCTAGTCAAAAGAAATAGAATTTAAGACATCACTTTTTCCCAAGGGAACACAAGGATCTGCTCTTCTAAAAATGTGGGTCTTCATTCTACTTATTCATTCTAAGTATTACCAGGCCTTTCTAATGCGAATTTTCACGGGATAATGGAAGTGGGGCCTGTCGGGCCCGCCACGCTGTTGGCACGTGACGTTCGTGGCTGGCCCTTCAGTGGGGGTGTCCCCCCATCTCTATGACTCCCCATCGGGGTTCTCTGCGGTGCTCCACGCACTCTAAAGGAAGGAAGGGCGCACGTTCTGACTCGCTGCTTACGGTCTGGTGCTGCGGCCGGCACAGCGTCTGGACTCACCTCACAGGTAAGACTAGTTCCTGATTTCCCTGAGCGTATGAGAGACGGTGAGTTTGCAAACTCTTGGGTTTCCCAGTTTCCAGTGTCAGGGGAAGTAGTTCAAGCACATATTTAAAAAAATGACTAGCTGAAATAAATCTGACCCTGAAAATTCACTATGAATGGTTTTTAAGGCTGACTGGAAGTGAGTTGCTCATTTAAACTATCTGATAAGATTCTCCCACTGGCGGATATAACTAAGACTCATTTCTCCTCTGTTATCTCCCCATTTTAACATTTCCTCAAACTCTGCTTGCATCACAAAGGCAAGGGAACAGGAGAAAACCAAGTGCCTTCGGACATAATGTCTGAATTAAAGACAATTTACATAATTATTGTTGTTAATACTATTATGGGCAGCATAGTGGCAGACCCAGTTTTTGGGGAAATTATCAACAGTCATGAAAGGTCACATGCGTGTGTGTGTGTGTGTGTGTGTACACAGGCGTGTGTGCATGAAATAAGGTCATGTGAATGGTGTGAACACGTGCGTACATGCAACAGGCCACGAATTAGCTGGTCGGGAACCCAACAGCATGGATTCTCTGGTTCGATCCCGGACACACTCCATGAATCCAGTGGGCAGCTCCTTCCCTTGAGACAGCCTCACTTGCAGGCTCCGCCCCGCCCGTAAGGTACAGGACGGTAAGGCCTCTGGGGGTGCGGGGCCTGGTCAGCCTGGGGAGAGCCACAGAGGCACCTGTGCCTGCAGGAGGGCAGGTGTCCTGTCTGGGGGTGACCCCACCACTACCACCACCCAGGCCTCCATGTTTGGTGGCAAGTCTTCCAATTCTGCTGACCTCGCACTGTTGTAGAAATGAACGAAGACCGTACTGTTCAGAGAACTTAGCATCAGCCTGGGGCCATCTGGCCATGAGACACTTACCACATTGCATGCATGTATGTGGGGGGTAGGCGTGGGCTGCTGACAGGCGTGCAGTTATACGACCTCATGATCCTTTCTGCCAATAGGAAATTTCGAAACAGACTAGCCACCAGCAGGTCCTGTCTGAAGAGCTTTTGGAAGAGATCTGAGGGCAGATAAAAAAGGTATCCTCAGTGACTCATGTCCAGCACTTGTAGCAAGTAGACCATTCAAAAAAATTTCATAAAAAAAATTTTACAAGCAAGTTGGGGCTAACGTGCACATTTCCCACTGGTGATAAACACACACACATACACACACACACACACACACACGCACACACGCACACACGCACACACGCGCCAAAACCTAACCAGTCAGCAATGGAAAGCCACAAACTTGTCCTCTAACAGTGACTTCTGGTTTTGAGAAGTAAGGGTAGTGCCGATGACCACGGGGAGAGGCGAGCCGAGCCTGCCCAGGAGGTGACGCGGACCGGCCAGGCGGGGCTGGTACCCACTGCGTGGGCGCTTGCCGCGGGGCCCCCCGGCCACCTCCAGAGCCGCCCCTCCGCTCCGCCCCTCGGTGCTCCTCTGGACTCCCCTCGGCCTCCCGGACAGCAGGGATCCCGCCCCCGCTGGGCACACGGGCAGCCTCACCCCGAGGGAGCACGTTCCACGCGATGGTGTCTGTGATCGCCGTGAAGATCCAGTTCAGCTCGCCCAGAGGAGTCCTCCTGTCGTTCAGCCGGCCGGGAATCCTAGGGGACAGTCGTTTTCGTTAGTGACTACGGAACATGGGTGCCTGAGGGGGAGCTGGGGGGGTGACAGCAGAAGGGAGACAAAACCTTCAGATCCAGAGAACCCCGTGTGCAGCTCCTTCAGGTGCCTCCTGGCACACGGACCAGACCCAGGGCAACAGAGGCCATTCTTGTGCTTCCACATCTGAGACAGGCCATTACTGGGCCCCACTGGGCAACCAGTGGCATTTGCACCACATCCTACAACCCTGTCCCTGTGGCTCCAGGCTGCACAAGCTCACTTGCAACCTGAGTGCCAGGGGAGGAGAGCCAGTCTTTGAAGGCCTACCTACTTTCCATGTGCCCAACAGTATCTCTGGGCACCTGCCAGAGGGCTAGCGTATGCCAGCACCGGCGACAGCTGTGCTGTGAAGTCCCTGCTCTTGTGGAGCTTACAGTCGGGAGGGAAGGACAGCTGAGACTCAAACAAGTACACAGGTTACACGCAAAGTGGTGGCAAACGATGTCATGACATGAGCTGGGGAGAATGGGGCAGAGAGGGTGAGGGTGCTGTGCACGAGCACGGGCGAGGGAGGCACTGTCGCAGCAGAGGCGGCACTAGCGGAGTGAGGGCGCAGGCCAGGCGGCTCCGGGGAAGGACAAGTCGGGCGGAGGGCAGCGAGTGCCGAGCCCGGGGCGGGGCCACGTTCTGCCTGCTCAACAGCAAGCTTCACTATCTCCACTGTGCAGTATTCTAATTATATCTGACAGAGAACTCTTTTTTCTCTCCCTAAAGGAAAATGTTCACAGTAATTTGGTTCAGGGACTGAAGTGTGACTCCTGCTATTTTTAGGATTTAACATTAATAATTCCCATTATAGCACCCAGTTGATGGCATGGTCTGTGCATCAGTGACACTTGGAGGCTGGGCCTCACCCGGGTGCGGCTGAGCGGAGCTGACCTCTTCACATGCTGCCGCGGCATGTGGGCTCCGACCTTCCATTTCAGGAATAAAAAGTCTTTTCATTTCCTCAAGTAGGCTTCATGACAGCAAGAAAATTAAGAGATGAAGAATCCGTAAAATACTCGAAAACAGCATTATGGCTCAAAGAACCTCTGAAGTCTCAGATAAAGATTTCCAAATTCGAGAAAAATTCTGCCTCAACAGGGGAGATTCCAGTTTACTCAAACTAAAAGGTTTTAAAAACACAGGTTATTGATCATGGCATGGCTGATTTAAAAAGCAGTTTTAACTGGCTCTGTGTGCCAGGCACCTTGAAGGTTTCCCACTGTTTAAAAGAGTCCAGGTCTCCGAGGAAAGCCCAACAGGTGTGTGCCACTTCCTTGGCCTGCAGGCTGTCCCCTCTCCGCCCACTGTCTCTTCAGAAGGGAGGGCAACAGCTGGGCAGCTGGGTGGCCCTGGCCCCGGAGCAGGGAGGTGAGGGTCTGTGAACAGCACACAGCAAAGACCCCACTTTCTAACAAGCTGCACCCAAGCTCTGCCTTGTGGCGGCTCAGTGAGGGTGGGGGCACCTCCCAAGGGAAAATACTTCTTCATAAAACACAAACAGCTTGGGAAGGCATCTGACCACCGCTCTTCTAGGCCCTCGAGTGCCGGTGGACACCGTAGCTCGCTGCCCCAGAAGGGACACATCACCAGGAGACAACAGGGGGAGGAAGGGGTACCAGGAGGGCTGGACGGCAGACGTGGAGCCTGGCACGTGCCTGGAGAAGGGAGCGCACACCAAGGGCCTTCCTGAGGAGACAACTAATGAGGTCGCCAACAGTGCCCAACAACAGTACCACCCTTTCCATACGGGGGCACTCCTGGAACTTGTGCCTGCCCTGCCCATGAGCTTGGCCTGCGGAAGAACACAGCGCAGGAGGGAGCGCACCCTGAATGTCTCAGCTCTGTCGTTAGCACATCAGGACTGGACCAGACTGCGAGGTTAGAAGGCAGCACTCCAAGCCTGCCTTCACCTGGCACCCCCCACACCAAGTTCGGGGGTTCTCAAAACCACCCTCAGTTTGGTAATTCACTAGGAGGACTTGCAGAACCCAGCGAAAGCTACTATGGTTACAGTTCATTACAGGGAAACAGAGATTCAAACCAGCCCTTGGCAGGATGCATGGGGCAGTATCAAGGAAAGTAGCAGAGGCAGGGCTTCTGCACCCCTTTCCACGGAGTCAGGGTGTGGTCCCCTCCCAGGATCCACGTGTGACAACATACCTGGGGCTCTGCGGGCCACGGCCCAGGGCCCTGGTGCCGACCATGGAGGCCTGGCTGGCTAACTGGCTAACCACGTGCTAGGTCTCACCTCCAGGTGGACTGATACGACACTCAAAGGCCCCACCCTAAATCGCGTGGCCTCACCTTCCAGGCAGGTGGGCCCCCACCAGACTGACTATTGGTGTGACACAGGTTACCTCCCAGAAGCTGAGGGCACAGGCCACTCTCTGTGCAAGGCCAAGCTGTTCCCTACACGAACGGTCTGGGCAACATGGACAGTGAAGCCACACAGGCCTAGACGTCAGTTTTTGAAGCACACGCACCCCTGGGCACAGTGCTGGCAGGCCGCGGCTTGCCTTCTCCGGACTGAAACCCCAGATGGGGCCAACTCCAGTGAGCTGTCTTAGGGGAGCTGAGCCTGCCTCCTCCCGTCTTTGAGTTTGTACATGTGAAGACAAGACCCCCGGACAGTCCCAGGTAACCCGGTGGTGACGGTCCCAATCGGCTCCAAGGGAAGGAGGGGATGCTTTAAAGTCAGTCTGTGGCCACCACACATGATGCTGTGCAGCGTCAGCTGGCAGGGTGCACTAGGGAAGGACAGACACACGACGGACAGAAAACGTTAAATATACCTCCAGGCATCAACTCTGAGTTGGAAGCGAAGTGAGGAAACAACTTATGCGGAGTTTTATTTGTAACAGTGAAAGTCAGAAATGACAATGTTACCAACACGAGAGAAATGACTAAGGAAATTGTGCAACAAGCACAATGGAATACTACAAGCCATTAAGCGGTTGTTTATGAATATTTTAATAATGTGGGAAAAAGCTTGCTTTATAACATTAAGAAGACAAATATTGTACAATCATAATTACACACAACATGTGTAAGGAGAAATAATGGAAAGAAAACCCCCAAACCGTGCTGGTGGTGGCGCATCCGCACCCCTCATATGTGTCTGTGGTCAGTATTGGCCACGGTGTGCGCACCCACTGAAACACGGACCAGAGCAGACCCTGACCCACCCCCTCCCGACCGGGGCCCTGGGTGGAACTGGCGGGAGCCCGCGGCCGCCGCGGTGGGGCAGGGGCAGCACATGGGGCACTTGTGGATGGCAAGGACTGCTGGCAGGAAGGCTGGACAGGCACGGCCCTGACAGGAACCAGCACCTGTGAGGCGGGGGCAGCACAGCCCAGGCCTGTCTCTCAGGCCCGACCCCTCGGGACGTGAACCTGCGTCCCGTGTGCACGGCACCGAGGAGCTCCCTGGCACATTGCCAGCACTGGGTGGGCAAGCCACCGCGATGAACAGAGGCCAACTCTGGTGAGGTCAGGGTCAGTGTTTTCAGAATTCTTACCCGTGACGATCCCTGGCAGATGAATGTAAAGCTGGACCAACCAGTCTCCCAGAGAGCCCACGGTCACTGTCACTAAGCTCCTCGTGAAGGCACAAAGCCACCTGCCCCGCTGAGCTCAGATGGACCTCGCGCCCAATCAGCCGGTCCGCCACAGCATCACCCCCTCCAGGCAGGCTGGGGGGCACGCCGGGAAGGCAAAGGCGGAGGACAACGTCCCACTTCTCTCGCCTTTCATGTCATTTAGATAAATCACTTCAGAATCATTTGTTCCTGTTCGTGCCGTGGCCGACCCTGCAGTGTTGGAACCCGAGCCGTCTGGAGGCCCTGGGCCACTGGTGGCAGTGGCGGGGCCTCTGCAGGGACGCAGCAGCACAGGCCACATTTACCATGACGGCAACCACGGAACCCCAGTGAGCTGCGTTCACAGGCGAGGGGGTTCTTTCAAACTTAAAACCACGGGGTTAATCGAGGGCTAACCTCATGTGGAGAGCGTAATGAGCTCTCCTTTAGGAACGCTGAGCTGGGGGGTGACAGACCTCAAACTCTCGCCCCCACTGTGCTGCGCCTGGCAACTTCTGTCCCCGAGTTTCTCTGCTGAGTCACTGAGGCTGGAGCATGTGCAAAATGGGACAAAAATACAGTGGACGGCACTCAAGAGGAGGTGCGGCAGACCCCCTCCTGGAAAGGTGTGCTGCTTGCATACTGCCAGCGCTGCTGCTGCCAGGCGGTCTCACTCCCTGACATCCGGCTCACCTACAGCTCAGACTCCTGCCGGTAACCATGTCCCTGACCCAGGTGCCCAGGGATTACCGGGGACCCCCAGCTCCCCCACACTGGCAACACGCTAACCCTACCTCGGCTTCCATACCCCAACTGAGTTACTGGGGCAGCCGCCAGTAAGCAGGAAACCGAGTGAAGTGGGGCCATCGTGGGAAGGCCACCGCTCACCTCCATCCCCTCCCCACCTCTGGTCCTGTCTTCCACAGATGCCCCAGCAGGCCCCTGCCAGGACCCTGACGAACAACAGCAAAGCCCTGGCACTGGAGCTGAGGAGAGAGTTCCTCCTGGCCACCCCTGCGTCCGAGCCCGAGGCAGACGCCCCCGTCCACTCCCGCACCCCTGGGTACGCTCCCTGCCTTCCTGGGGCCCGTCTGGGCTCAGCCCTCACAAGCAGGGCTCCAAGCTCACATGCACGACCACGTCCTCAACCGCGACGGTCTTGCTCAAGCTCCGAGCTCCTTTTCTGTCGGGACTGAATGAGAACCTGCTGCTTCCTCGGGTTTCTTCGGCAGGCCACGAACGTTTACCTTTTTCTTCCCTGTGTTTATTCCCACAATGATCCCTGCATGTTAGTTGTCTGTGTAACCAGATAACAAATTCCTTGTGGGCAATGACTTATTTTCCTCAATATAAATCGATCTCCTTACGGTTTCT